GACAAATACTGTATGCTAACACATATATATGGAATTTAAGGGGGAAAAATGTTATGAAGAACCTAGGGGTAAAACAGGAATAAAGACACAGACCTACTGGAGAACAGACTTGAGGATATGGGGAGGGGGAAGGGTGAGGTGTGATAGGGCGAGAGAGAGACATGGACATATATATACTAACAAACGTAAGGTGGATAGCCAGTGGGAAGCAGCCGCATGGCACAGGGAAACCGGCTCGGTTCTTTGTGGCTGCCTGGAGGGGTGGGATAGGGAGGGTGGGAGGGAAGGAGACAAGGAGGGAAGAGATATGGGAACATATGTATATGTATAACTGATTCACTCTGTTATAAAGCAGAAACTAACACACCATTGTAAAGCAATTATACCCCAATAAAGATGTTAAAAAAATAAAATAAAATAAAAACAATTACAGTATATTTGGAAAAAAAAAAAAAAACTTTGGCAAATGTGATAGCAAAAGAAAAAACAGAGTCTCTGAAATGAGACACTGATTTCATAATGAAAATCACTACACTGAGAAGCTTTTGTCCACTACTTTGAAATATAATTTAGTCCCGCGTGTGAAAAGATACATTTTGAGGAGCTCATTGGACTGATTCCCATCAGCCATTTTACCAGCTCAAAAGGTAACACGTTGAAACCTCAGGTCACATTTCCTAGCTCATGAAAACGTGCCAGAGCCAGGGAGAAACTTTGGTCTTTAGAAACAACCATGCATCGTGGGAACACCGGAGAGATCTTCTAGACCCAATCTCCACATTAGGACAATCCACCTAAGCCCAAAGAAGTTAATATTGATACGAATGCATTCACCCATTCTGCACTTACTGAGGGGCCCATATGGTGATCCCATGGAGAAGGGATTCAACACAGTCCCCTCTGTCAGGGCGCTTACCTTCTAGGGCAGGAGACAGTCAGATAACAGAAAAACAAGAACATTTTAAATACTGTTAAGTGTGATGAGGAATATACGATGGAATAATTTAAGTGAGAGCTGCTAACAGGTCAGGGAAGGCCACTTTGAGGAAAACACCACCTGGATGATGAGAAGGAACCAGCCTTGGGAAGATCTGGGGGGAGAGCATCCAGATGGCAAGACAGGTGGAAAGGCCCTCAGCGGCATGGAGCTGAGAGCACGCCAGATGCAAGCTGACAGAGCCCTGAGGGGGCAGCTTCAGGTGAGGTGACAGGTGGGGCCTGGCATTCACTCAGGGCTTTGCAGGCCCAGGCGAGGAACCCACTGGAGAATTTAAGGGAGCGATGTGATTCTGACATTATCAAAAGATCCCTTTTATTATAAAATATGCAGAGACTGTATTGAAGGAGGGGGAGTATATTGGCAAAGGGTCTATTTAGGAAGCTGCTGGAGTAGCCAGGTCAGCAATGGCAAGCCAGAGTAGATCAATCAGCCTGGGATGGAGAGAGTTGGGAAATTTCACACTTGTGTTTAGAGGTAGAATGGACAGAATTTACTTGCTGACTTTAGATCCTATCTCCCTAGTTAGATGCCACTAACTATATTATAGCTGACAGTTACTGGGCATTTACTATGTGTTAAAATACCTCATTTAGTCTTCAAAACAGCCCTAAGAAGTGGCTACTTATTTACCCATGTCTTATAGGTGGAAAGAAGAGGCCGGGGAAACCAGCCCAGAGCAGGAGGCAGGGTTCAGAGCCCAGGCTTCATGGTCTCCACCGCCGGTGCTGTAACCTCGGCTCTACCTCTCCCCTGGTGGGAATCGCCCACCTCACAGCTGCAGGCTCTTCACTCTGCCACAAAGCTTGTTCTGCCCTCTGGCTGCCCTGTGCCTTCTAACAACCAGCAAATGTGATGCAGCCTCCCAAGCAATGCAGGGCTGCTTTGAAACTGCATGCTGGCACCTACCTCGCCAGGATGGGCCTGGGGACCAGCGCTCCTTTTAAAGAAAACAGATACTGAGGATTTGGACTGTTCATTTTTTAGGGCATCTACTAACCCAGAGCAAAGTGTCTAGGACAGACACTCAAATTATTTTTAAGGCATGCATTATTGTTCCTTAAATGGTTCAAACTATAAAATTTATTCTGTCTCTTTAAAGCATTGATATTTGATTAGCCAACCTTATAGTTCATAAAGCATATAAAATATGCAATCAATGGCATTTTCTAAAATATTTTACTTTATTTTATTAAAATATCCCAAAGAATTGTGTATCGAGTTATAAAGCACCAGTCTAGGTCCTACATACTCCCTACCTGAAACCAGCCAAACTAAATTTCAAATACAAGTCAGAATCTTGTCTTAAAAAGGTGCTGAATTAAATTGTGAAAATATTTTTTACTCATCTCTTTAAATATATGGCAGTGTGCAAAGATCTCACCTGATTTTAGCGTGTCACACACTATACCAAACAGAGCCCCTGGTACCACTGCTTAAACTTAATTATAACCAAACCTGGAAAAAGCAGCTCTTGTATTTACAGACTTAAAATATGACTGATTCACTTTAATAAGCAGTAGATTTTATCAAGCAAACATAGTTCACAGTTCATGAAGACCATTCCAGGTAGAGGACATGCAAAGATGCATTATTTGAAGACATGAGTACCTGGAAATCACAGGGGAAGTATCTTAGTATATAAGTACCATTTTTCTTGAAAAATTAATAACATATGTTTTCTACGTATATGATAAAACATCTGATTTTTTACCATTCTCTTTAAATAAATTAATAGCTAAACTGAAAAGAAAATGACTGATTCACAAACACACGCAGAAAGGAGAATAATTTTTAATGGGCAGCTCAGTATAGAAAGTACCGATTGCTAGATCTTTGAGAATTTCCTAGAGGACTTGAGGACCTGGGCCTGAGATGTCATAAATGCCTGCAGGGCCTGGCTCTAATCGGAGGGAAACTATACCACTATCTCCTACACAGCAGAACTCGGGCCACACCCAGCCCTGATCCCAACGCTGGCCTCCCACACAGCAGGGGAGTCCTGACTCGCAGCTCCCTCACTTGCACTCAGCCCTTGTCTGCCAGCCTAGCCCAGGGGGCACTCAGGACACTGACTGCAGCTCAGCCCCTTGGACCCAACATCTTACAGCTCCCTCTGGTCTAACCGGACACTCAGATTCTAATGCCTGGTTTCTCCTTCCCTACAGGACCCATGGTCCTCTCTTACTATTTTATCAGAACACCCATTGAGACCTCTTGCACCTTGGTCACACTGAAGCATCTTGGCCCAATTCCGACTCCTCCTACATCCTCCCCTATTGCTTCCAACAACCTAAGAACGTTTCAGAGTAACGCTATCTCATGGCGTTCTGAGCATGGACTACAGAGTCAGACCACCAGGGGAACCATGGGTAAGTTATTTAGCCTCCCTGTGCCTCCGTTTCCTCATCTGCAAAAGGGAAATAATAACAGTACACCTACCTCTGAGGGTTTTGTGAGAATTAAATGAAAACATTTGTACAACAAATAGGGTTAGTTATTATCATTATTACATAGAATTTAGTTTAGGATAATGAGGGAACCTAGAAAAAAAGCCCACGTTAAAATAATGTCTTTACTAAGTTTTCTAATTCTTAACTGTGGAAAAGTTAGCCAAACCACTAACAGCTTGCCTCTATTGGCATTTAACCCCTTCATTGTAAAAAATAAATAAATAAAACAAAATTAAAAGTCAAGGTGGAAAGTGTTGATTCAATTTGTAGATTATACTGAATAAGCATTTTCCTATTATATTGCCTGAACCATTCTAATCTTTATCAGTTTGATGGACAGCAGGTACCCCAAACTGTGCAGAATGATAAACTCAGCCACACAGAGACCTTGCTAGAGGTCCCCTAATGGAAGCACAAAGCTTCCAAACTGTGACGCACAAAGCACAAACTGTGACTTTGGGTGGCTGGCTTTTGGAATATTCGAGGAAATCAAGTCTACATTATTATTATTAAAAATGCCTCACAACTGTCCATTTTCTCCTAAGTATGGACACAAATAAAGCATGGACTCTGGGGCCAGAGAGTGAGTTCAAATCCCAGCTCTGCCATCACTTGCTATGCGACCCTAGCAAGTTAGGTAAATTTTCTGTGCCTGAGTTGCTTCATCTGTAAAAATAGGAGGATGATAAGCATATACTGATTGCGACCAGTAAGTGAGTTATTATGGAAGGTGCTTAGAACACTGCCTGCCTCACAGTAAGCATCCACCGATGTTATCTGTTGTTATTAGCAACTTGTAGACACAGAGCCTGGTGTCTGCAAACAGTATCAGCCTCTCCAGGAGCCAGGGCAGAGTCGTCACCGGTGTGGCGTTTCCCGAGTGGCCAGCAGGGGCCCCCGTACACATCCTTCTCTCCTAACCCCCCAACTACTTGAAATGTTAAACGCGTTGAGAAGGTCCCTACCACAGGAAGCCTCGTGTGTTTACCAGTGGACTTTCTCCACTGAACAGGGACTTCCCTGGGAGGAAAGGCCTGACTTCCTGCTTCCTCAGCACTGGAAGTGACCCTGGCCTTAAGAGATGCTCTAGAAATATGGAATGAATACTCATTCCTTCAGATCTTTAAGTGGCTTTAAATTTCCAATCCCTTATGAAAATACAAGCCCCTCCAGGAACAAAATCCTTAACAAACATCTTAGCAGCAATCAGTGAGCCCTGAGCTGATGACGAGTGGCGGCAGCATCCCACTGCTCACACTTCTAGCACATTCCACACCATCTAGTGCCACAATCACAGAGCAAAGACAAAATCTGTCTATGTTGAAATACGGTCTAGAGTCAACTCTGACCGGAAAAAAAAAAAGAAAAGAATAAATGTATTTTTACAAATAAAAGTATGTTTCTAAAATGCTTACCTTGCCTCATAAATGAAAGGGCTTTTTCTTTTAAATTCTCAGTCAGTTGTTTCTTTTTAGTCAGGTAATCCAAAACGTAAATATTTGGAGCAAAATTTATCATGTTCTGTTCGCCACAGCCATAAGGCATTCGGATCAGTGAGGCTAAGCCACTGATGGAAGAACCAAGAATATCTCCTGAAAGCACAGGATATTCATTACAGTCAGCAAATCCTCAGTAACTATACCTCCTGGTGGCAGAGAGGTGTCCACTGAGAGCAGAAAGCATCTGGAGCAACATTACTATTCCACTACGTGGAGCATAGTATTTATAGAAACTTTACATCAAGCTTTTAGGAAGACTGATCAAATAAATGACAATACAGTGGTACTGAACTTGTAGATTATGTGACAAATTAGGAGACTCTTAGCTCAAAGATACAGTACAGATAAGCAAAAACCAAGTTTAAAATAAAATTTCTGAACAAAAGTGTCAGGAATTGCATTAGGAAACCATCATACTTACATGGGAAAGAAATGTTTTATTAATATTCTTCACATAAATAGAACTTTATTTTGATTTCCTTACTAATACACCACAAATTCTTGAGAAATGATGTTTTTCAGGGCAGGGTTGTGGTATTTTTCAATGTGCTCTATTTATCAACAACAAAGTAGAACTAACAAGTATAAGCATTTCAATAAATCTCAGGATCAAAAGGATTAAAAATATTCTTCAAAGTTAGTAATATAAAGTGAAACAAAACACACACTTACCCACATTCCTCTAACCACAGTCTAACACCATAACTCAAGAAAATAAGTAAGAATTTAGAAATGTAAAGGCTGAGTTCTAATTCTGACCTCACTGTGGTTGAACTGTATAGAGAAGAATATTCGTCAATGTGGTTTATTTTAGAAACTTACACCATTCCAAGTCCAAATACCTAGTAAAAATCTGCTCCAGGGTTTCTCTGGTGGCGCAGTGGTTGAGAGTCCGTCTGCTGATGCAGGGGACACGGGTTCGTGCCCCGGTCCGGGAAGATCCCACATGCCGCGGAGCGGCTGGGCCCGTGAGCCATGGCCACTGAGCCTGCGCGTCCGGAGCCTGTGCTCCGCAACGGGAGAGGCCACAACAGTGAGAGGCCCACGTACCGCAAAAAAAAAAATAAAAATAAAAATAAAAAATAAAAAAATAAAAATAAAAATAAATCTGCTTCAAAAAAATGTATCCAAAAAAGAGAGGAAGATCTTCAGGTGGGTAAGCTGCAGCCATGCTAGCGTATTATGTCTCAAACTTTAGATATTAACACAGAGAAATAAATACCACTGCAGGTTATGTTTTTTATTTTTATTACTACTGCAGGCTATGTTTTTAATATTCAAAGTGAACATAAACTTAGACTCTCAAAATCCAAAGAAGCAAGCTAATATTCACACATCTGGGCTACCAAATAGGTTTTTTTTAAGTACATAAATACCATATAAAAATAACACTGGGCTTCCCTGGTGGCGCAGTGGTTGAGGGTCCGCCTGCCGATGCAGGGGACGCGGGTTCGTGCCCCAGTCCGGGAAGATCCCACATGCCGCGGAGCGGCTGGGCCCGTGAGCCATGGCCGCTGGGCCTGCACGTCCGGAGCCTGTGCTCCGCAGCGGGAGAGGCCACAGCGGTGACAGGCCCGTGTACCACAAAAAAAAAAAAAAAAAAAAAAAAAAACACTTGAAAAACCATTATCTAAATCAAGCTTTAACATTAAACCTCAGAGCACTTCAATAACAATAGCAGACTCATTCCAACATAAGGAGCGATGGTACACACTTAAACTTCAAGGCTTCTTCCTTCCATGTGTGTGCATGTGTACCACATCATCTCCCAGCATCCTGGCACTGTGGGAGGTTCTTAGGCAGAATGTATTCCCCTAAATAGAAAGCTTATTTAATTCTTTTTAAGAATTATATCTAAGTCTCCCAAAAAACATCCTCTCTAGAGCAACTGGCTGTTTGAGGTTATAATAAAAAGCATTACACTTGCAGGGGAGATTTAAAAGAACCTCTGAAAAAGTGCCTTAGGTCCTGACACCTCAAAGATCTAAACTATTGGGCTGGCCAAAAAAGTTTCGTAACATCTTATAGAAAAACCCTAACGAACCTTTTGGCCAACCCGATATTTAGATGTCATTCACCTAAATATTTCTTTCAGTTATTTGCAAAGCACAACCACATAAATAAACCATTTGTGTGGAAGCTCTGTCTAATAGTTGAAAAGACTTTGGAGTTACCAGAAGGTAACTAGGAGAGGGTGACTTAGTCAGTGGGTAGCTTCAAACTGTAAAGGGTACTTGTGTCTGCACAGGGAACTGCTAGAGGCAGTGGTCCTCAACCTCTGTTACCAGAAGCACTCGTGGAACCTTTTCAAAACATACATGCCCTAGCCACAGCCCAAGAGATTCTGACTGAGTAGCTCGAGAGTGGATCCCAGATATTTGTGTATTTCCCAAGCTCCACAGAAGGGATGTTCACCAGTGGTCGAGAGCCACAGAGGCAAAACAACCATACGATAGTGTGGTCTGGCTACTCAAAAGAGTGGTCTGCACACCAGCAGCAGCAGCATCACCTGGGAGCTTGTTAGAAATGCAGAATCCAAGGCCCCACCCCAGGCCTACCAAGGCAGAATCTGCCTTCACACAAGCTCCCCAGGTGATTCACATGCACCTTGAAGACTGAGAAGAACTGGTCCAGGACACACATCTCACTTGCCTTCCTACTGTAATCAGTGGTTGGCACCAACTAAAAACTTTCCTCAACTTCTTCTCATTAGGATTAAATAAGAAAATACACCTAAATAAGGACCTACTTATAGCACAGGGAACTATATTCAATATCTTGTCATAAACTATCAACTATCCTGTAATAAACTACTCTTTTTCAGAAAAGAATCTGAAAGAGAATATATATACATATAGGTATAACTGAATCACTTTGCTGTGCACCTGAAACAATGTAAACCAACGACACTTCAATTTTAAAAAGTAATTAAAAAAAGAAAATATACCTACAAATAAATGAAAGATATATAGCATCATATACAAATAAACCAGTAGCGATGGTGATATAATGTGTTCTTACCAACTGCAGTGATCTGAACTCTCTCACTACCACTCACTCTGTGAGGAGGAAAGGAGAAACTCAAAGCCTTCAGGGTAGTTTGTAGCTTGCTGTCGGTCAAGTCTAACAAGATGGATTGTGAATATGATTTTTCTATTCCTTCAGCCTGTTGATAAAAAGGAACACAATTAACATGGTCCCTACTCATCTGTTCACAGAGAACTATATGCTGATAATAAGTCAATCATCTGGCCTGTATATGGTTAGGTAAGTACCTACAGTGTCTTGATTACTGCTTTAAATCTGTTAACAAATGTTTCCTTTCTAGTTAAATTAGTCAAAACATTTCACAGAATGGCAATGGAAATGATAAAGGAGAAGATGAAAAGGCGATGAGAAACCCTCTGAGGTAGGTCCTTGTATTATCCAAAGACAGAGGTTAAGTACCTGGTGCAAAGGCACCCTTGACAAAGGTGGGATGAAACCCTGTTCTTACTCCGGAACGCAAGTGCTTATCTACTGTGCTGAGCTGTCTTTTTGTGCATACTGTCTTCTCTGAAAAAACCTACCAAATCTCTTCTACCTGCACTGAGGAATTCCAAAATTCAAAATCTACGTATCAGCTTGGCACGATTTAATAGGATCCCAATGTCACACAGACTGTAAATGTAACTTGCCTTATAGTCGTACTATAAATTTAAAGAAGACATTGGCAATTACCTTTAAAAACATACGTGATATATTTTTACATTCAGATGAGAAAACCATTAGGCATTACCAGGAGGGTGGAAAAGATGACCTAGTCAGTCTTGAAAACAAATTTAACCAAGAGAAAAACCACCTTCTGTTGCCTTTTCAATTACGTATTTCCATTCTATTTATTTAGACTTCAAGAATTTACCTTCACTAAAATCCTCTGGGTGACAGCATCGGAAGCAGCAGGTGAAACAGCTGTGACTGTGATGGGCATTTCCCCCAGATGTGTTGGCCGGACCGGGAAAAGAACAGTTGCCCCATCCTCACTGGGAACCAGAACTGTCTGCTGGTGTCCTGTGGCATTTATTTCATTCGAAGCCATTAGAATATCAAACGCGTCACTTTTCTCAATGATTACCTTAACCTGGAAGAAAAAATCATCAAAGGTCTTGTATAATAAATTGCTCCCCAGTAAAATGTTGCTCTAAGTGCAGATAAATCTATGAGGCCTGAAACTAGAGAAAAATAAGACAGAAAGGTTCAGCCAAGCAGAGGGTGAAAGGGTGTCAGGAAAAACCGAGTTTCTTTCCTATGCTTTCTCCATCTACCTCAAGACATGTGGGGAAATGGCATTCTTCAGTTCCATTTCTAACATTAAACTCCCACTAACATTAAATTCTCTCATTTTTCGAAGGCTGAGTGGTAAGGATGTACCCAAAAAGGTTATTTCATGTCATGGTACTGCCACCAGCCTGACTCATCTAAGTCATCCTGGGACACTAGTCCCATCAGAAAAGCCTGAGGCAAACAGGATGAAATGTTATTACATTCATTGAGAGTCTCTGCTAAAATTATTCCAAGAAAAGTATGACTCAGACACTAGTCCTGAAACACATGTCGGTTGTAAACTTTCATAAAATATGTCAAAGTTGCCAGGCTCATCAAGAATCGCATTTCTCTGGGTCTTAGATTTTATGAATTGTTTTCCCATTTATTTTCTCATCTGTTTCTCAAAATATTTCCTACCTGACAGATGAGTAAACTGCAATTAAGTTATTTGCTGGTAAGTGGAGGACCTGGACCTTGAATGTGGGCCTCCTGACTTTTGCTCTTTACACTGGACCATGTTGAGAAGATTAAAAAGTAAAATTCGGGCTTCCCTGGTGGCGCAGTGGTTGAGAGTCTGCCTGCCGATGCAGGGGACACGGGTTCGTGCCCCGGTCCGGGAGGATCCCACATGCCGCGGAGCGGCTGGGCCCGTGAGCCATGGCCGCTGGGCCTGCGCGTCCAGAGCCTGTGCTCCGCAACGGGAGAGGGCACAACAGTGAGAGGCCCGCGTACCGCGAAAAAAAGAAGGAAAATTAGAAAATGAGGAACGGTTTACTCTCTAGACATAGTGCTTAAAGAGATTATGGCATTTTCAGGTAATAAGGTTAATTACAATCCCTCCCTACTCCGGGAGGAAAAATCATTTCGTCAACACGACTGCAGGCACAGTACAAACAGTGGGCCTACCCCTGACTTACAGGGAACTGACTTGGCTAAGGAGACACCAGGCCATGACTCAAAAGACAAAGCCTTGAAAACAGAATATAAACACAGGGACAAGCACAACAGCATGGGTGAGATTCCTCAGAAAAGACACCTTAGTTTCAAACCAGGTCTTGAAAGGAATCAATTCTTGCCACCTGCAGTGGGCACAGAACAGCAGTGAGAAGCGGCAACACATTGTAGATGTGGGAGGACAGTAGGGGAAAAATGCAGGCGTGGGCAGGAAAGAGAAAGACATGCCACAGAGATGACGTTGCATGACTAAAGCAGAGAACCCGTGCTAGAAATTAAGGCAAGGATGCTTGGGCATGCTAGCAATATCCTTCGACATTAACAAGCAGAAGAAATTGTGGGCAAAGTATGGCTATTTTCAATCTCCCAGAAATGTATAGAATGCTTAGATGCCCAAACACTACAAAACCCAATCCCCGCATGTTTTCTTCATTTTTTCCTGAAGTATAAATGATGATTAGTATATTACCTCAGTGGCATCTTTTAAATAATTGAATATGGTTACTTCCAAAGCAAATTCTTCACCTCTGATAACAGAGTAGGGAAGATTCAAAAAAATGAAAAACGGTTGGAAGGCTTGGAGCTGAAAAGAACACAATGAATACAGATTTTATTCAAGTCCAAGTGCTTCACGCTTTACGCAATTAAAAGCAAATCTCACAAAACCTGTGACGCTTATAACTCACTTCACATAGAAATGTCCACTTGCCTACCAACAGAAAGCAAACAGCAACCTACCCCAAACGAACGGGGGCACGTTGATTTATGTTATTTAACACAGCAACCACTACATTTTATGAAATGGCTGCTAGGAACTAAGGACTTTACACAAATTATTTCATTTAGTCATTACACCTGTGTAAGCAGGTGTTATGATCATATTTTACAGAAGAGAATTCTGAAGCTCAGACATCTCTGTAACCGGTACAAGATCACGCTGCTGCAAAGTGTAGGAGCCAGAACTGGATCCCAGCATGTCTGAGGCCACAGCTAAGTCTCTCTTCTTCTATTCTGCCATGTTGATTCTACCATTCTCCTTCTAAAGCCACTGGCCAAATCAAACAGCATCTGTTTTAGACTCATGTGAAAAGTCTAAATGATGTTTTGCCTACTACCCTGTAATATACACATACACATACTCGTGCTTACTCATTGGTCACCCAACCTTGATAGCATCGGCGGAGCTTCTCACTGGCAGCGGTTAATCCCCTCTTAGAGGCTTATCTGGACATTTGTGGAAGTGTCAGACTGTCACGATAGGGTGCTCTTGGCACTTAGTGGGTGAAGGCCTGCGTGCTCAGGACAGTCCCAGAAAAGGAAGAGTTGTTCCGTGTCCCCCATGATTCTTGAATGTTCCTTCATGTAGATAAAGTACCTGCTTACAATGACCTGGGCTTACAACTAATTCCAACATATATATAAACCCAAAACATCTGTCAATATACAACTATTTTGTAAATCAAGAGGAAACTACGCTTTGTTTTGTAACTTTATCAAAACTTGTTCACTATTTCAAAACTTTACATCACCTCAGGCAACACCACTCAAGGTTTCTGAGTTGTGAAAACAATACACGTACATCAAACTGGATGTGCAGCTGTTACACAAAGGGTGGTTCTATGCACGGTGTAATATTCACATATGTTACTATGCCTTCTAGTGCAACTAGGCCTGGTCACTTACATACTGAAAAGTATATTATTTTATTATACATTACTTTCCTTTTATTTCTCCTCACTATTTCACTTAGGGCATCTTATTGATTTTTTTAAAATTGAGTGTGCAGTTATATGGTATTTTCTATGCATTTCATTTTGCATAGATGGTAGAGGGATGAAAAGAATAGCTGTTATAAAAAGCTGGCTTCAGGTATGACAGAGGTGAAAGCTACTGGTCTAAGACCAGTCATGGTCATTACATTCCTCTTGTCAGTGATGGGTTTAGGAAGCGACGTGAGATGTAATTTGACCGAAGAGATGTGAAGAAATGTTTGCTAGGGGACATTTTGAGAAGTTCTGCTTGTCCTTAAAGAGGGATGCATGGAAATATTCTATCTCTGGCCGTTGGAAGTGGTTGGACTCAGTCAATAATAAACTTTCTATCCAAATCTTAATACAGAGCTAGCATGTTTAGCAGTTTAATACAGCTCACATTCTAAAGTGTAAAACAGATGAAAAACAAAAAGGAAATGCCAAGGAATCTCTAAACTGTGATTTACATCATCAGCAATCACTTTTTTTAAATCCATTGAGGAGCTGACACTTTCTTTGCTTCGTGGCACTGTACCATTTATCAGCAGCCCTTTAATATACTACCTCCACTGGAGCAGTTGTTAGTCCAAGACCTAAATCCTCAGAGATCACAAAAGCAGTTGCAACCCAAGAAGTGATAGAATCAGGTACAGTAACTTCAAATTCTTGGTAAGTCCTGGAACTGAAGCCAAGATAAACATAAAAGTCACAAAACCGAGAACTGACACATTTCAAAATTGGCCAACATAACCTAAAACCATGTTTCGGAAGAATTTTAATTTTCCAAATCATTTACATATCTAAATTTTTTTAAAGATTTAAGCATAAAACAGTAGACCCCAAGTTCTCAAGGAATAGGTCATAATAAGGTCATAACACTCCAGACTGATCCATATTCCAATAAAATTTTTCTACAATGTTTTTATCTTCAGAATAAACATCATTTTTCATACATTTTGTATAGATAATAAATATACTTTTTCAAATTTAACTCCAGTTTGTTTCTCTCAATATGCAAAAAAGTTTCCCTCTGTATCCTAGTCTACGCTGTTTTTTGTTTTTTGAGGTTTGACTTGTGTCTCATTTCAAGTTTCTGTAAATAGTTGACTCATGATATGTATAGATTTCATGATTTACGTGCTCAGTCATCACGCCAGGTAGCACAGAGTTTGTCAGCTAAGCTGAATTCCTTTCAACATCCAAACCCCTTATTCCTGTGGCTCACAGGGATGTTTTATGAGGAGCCACAAGGCAGGGGGAATAATCATGAGCGCTTCCCATCCCAAGGCAACAAAGGAATTCTCAGCAATCTTTCCCCAATGAGAACCACAAGACTTCAGGGAAGTTAAAATCACCATTCATTAGAAAAAGGCCAGTCTTCTCCATGATGGTACTCTCACTGCCACAATTCACAGGCAGATTTATTAAGTACTATATTTAAATACAATAAATATCGTTCTAAAAAAAACTCTAGGTCCATTTAGTTCTTTACCACTCTATGTTTGTACTTAAGCATCAGAAACAGGGCAAAACTTACTTAAAACTAAAGCCAAACAAAATATATATGGGCAAACAACTTTATAAACTTTTACCCCATGCTGGTGTCTAGCCAAATCCAAGTCTCTGGAAAATGCTTTCTGACACGTGGACTGCTACCCAAAGAAAAGTCATGAAAATCTACCAAGTATCCTTCATTTTCCTCCAAAAACACTATACGGTCATCTAAAAATAAACACAGACAACTGTTAGGAAAAAGTCACTGTAGACAATGTTCATAAACCCAGTCCACAGAATCACAGCACCTCTCAGCTGACAGGGCCTTTAGAGTTTGTCTTGTCCAATCTTCTCATTTTACAGAGGCACCTGAGACCCACAGAAGTCACGTGACTTACCCTAGTCATGTGGCCACTATGACAGAGCCAGAAAAAAAAAAAGTTTGATGGCCCTACAACCAATAGCTGAAAAACTATTTATACTTCAGCTGCTAAAAAATAACTGAAATCACATTTTTAAAGTTATCTCCAATTCTGCTACTCTCTTCTTAGATCCCTAGTGCTGATTGCCTTTGGCTACACCATCCACAAGACGCTAAACTCATCCAGTTTATTAGCTTCTTTGTTATAAAAGAGGCAGGCTGACATATAGACATACCTATCTCTATTCTTTCAACTTTTCTTTCAAACTAAAGTGTAAAAAGAATTATACTGTAGAAGGTACCAAAGATAGCAAGATGAATGTGATGAGCTCCACCCATTGTCTATAGAGGAGGCGGACAAATACATGCTAAGAGCGATAGCGCACACAGGCCAAATGTCCACCATGCAGAGAACGGGTGATTTTACAGCCTCTGCACAGTGGACAGGGTACGGTTAGAGGAGAAAACCCATTCTGCGCTGTCTTCTGCATTCCATTTCCTTACGACTCCAGATAAAGATAGAGTATCTCGGGGCTTCCCTGGTGGCGCAGTGGTTGAGAGTCCGCGGCTGGGCCCGTGAGCCATGGCCGCTGAGCCTGCGCGTCCAGAGCCTGTGCTCCGCAACGGGAGGGGCCGCAGCGGTGAGAGGCCCGCGTACCGCAAAAAAAAAAAAAAAAAAGATGGAGTATCTCATACAAGAGAAAAAAAATAAGCTAAGTACAAAAGCATGTCCGGAATATGACAATGTGTATTAGGGCAGAGCGGACTAAAATGAGAACAGAACAAATGCTTGGGTTCAGATTTTAAAATATCAGTTATCCCACGCTGAAGGATTTGGACTTGATCGTTTAAGTAATGATGGCCTACTGAAGGTTTTGAAACAAGTTAGAAGCACGATCTAACCCATGTTTTATAATGGTAACTCTGGTCTCAGTGTGAACAGTGGTTTAGAGCTGGGGGAATGAGGCAGGAGAAACAGGGGGCTCCTGTGGCACCCAAGGAGGCATGCTGATGAGCGAGAGGAGAGAAAGCACAGCCTTGAGAAACGACCCTGCTCTGCCTCTCAGCTGGATGACCTCTGTGTGCACCCACGGCAGGCTGTACCTCAGCATACTCCTCTGTGTGCTGGCTTGACCCACTAGACCAAGCTGGAATCTCCATTGCCTCCTACATGTCAGGCATGCAATTAATATCATCTACTGAATAATGAATGAACAAACTGGATCTGAGGGATGAGACAATAGGTAATTGCAGACTTGTGAGTGCCAAACATGTGCTACGCATTTTACATCCTTTTGGTTGTAACCTCCTAACAACCCTGTAATATAGGTAATATTATTCTTCCTATAATTCAGAGAGAAACCTGAGGTTTAGGGAACTTAATGAATTTTCTGAGGATCATAAAGCCAGAATTCAAAGTCAGAAGTATTTAATGGCAAGTTCCTTTCTTAACCACTCTGCTGTTCCACATCTGACAGAGAGAGGAAAGAATTAAGGATGAGTTCCAGGTTTCTGATGCAGACATGTGGGTAGATGATAATTTCATTAACAGATATGTGGAATCATATCAACTCAAGAGCTCATATATCAGTCAAATCATATTAGGGAAAAGTGATGGTTTGTGACATATCAAAGTTAAGGTTATTTTGGGGGCATCAGGGTGCAGAAACAGGGGTAGAATAAACAGGGTGTTCCAGAGTTGAGTTTAATGGGAAAGGTGTCATGCAAGGACAAGGGACTAGGGAAGAATTCAATCACTTGAAGGTTTCTAGCAACATAATATGCTAGTAAGAGTATCAGGCTTCTTCTGTTACAGTGAAAAGGTAGAAGGGTCTCAGAAAAGGTAAAGAATACAATAAGTATTACTAACAACAACAGAATGAGTATTACAGTGTGCACCAGGATTCGATAAGTAAACATCAACAAAGATAGGTAAAAGCTGAGACTGACAGAGAGAGAATGGAAAAGCATAGATTGGTCTGGAAGGCTGCCTAGGATAGATGATTATATGAAGAAAGCTAAATGTGCCATGTGTCTTTAATACATAGAGATCATAATGACTTCATAAAATCTTTAAGACTATAAAATTATTCTTATAACTTCAGGACAGAGGGTCAGGTGTCCTGTGGTGTCAATAAACAACCCAAAGCTGGAGAGACTGGGGCTTAGTGTGGACTAACTGGGAATATGTGACAGAAACGGGGAATTCATGGATAGAAACTATGATAGTTCTGTGGCCTTTCAAGATGATTTCGTATGATTTTACCTGAAAGAAAAGAGAACAACTTCTAGAATTACTCATTCTCAGTTATACATTTCCTTCAGTCAAAATGTTTTATGACTTCTTCCTAAAAGCACACTTCTTTTAATTAGTTGGGTGGTCAACTCTATTTAGCAATCCAGGGAACTAGGATGTACAGATGTGACTCTGCCCGCAAAGAACTCAGATTGAGGAGACAAGTGCGTGCGTGCGTACGTGCGTGTGTATGTGTGTGTGTGTGTGTGTGTGTGTGTGTGTGTGTGTGTATTGACAGCACACTTTATGACGCCTGGGCTATTTTCTAGGTGAACAATAAAAAGCTAGAGAACAAAAATGTTTCAAAAATACGTTGCCCCTTTTAACTGATTCCAAAATAACACCACAGTTTACAACACAAATTGGGGGCATAAGATCTTCCAATATGTCCAGAAATATAACTATGTCAAAAAATTACAGAGAGCAAATGGAAAGCATTCATTACAAAGATCTAGACAGGAGGTGAAAAACACTCCATGTCATGGTCCAGATGTACTTTCAAGTACATTAAACTGCAAACACTGTAGGATACGAGAAGAGAAAATGAAAATTACAATATTCATGTTCAGCCAGAAAGTATTCATACTTACATAAGTAACTATAAACACTTCAGATGAAAGACTTAATTACTTTAAAAGCACTTTGCCAGATTTCACTTACAAACATCAATGAAATTCTTCACAAGGTTTGCATCTGTCAACACCCAGAGGCCACACTCCTAGAAAGAATAATTTTAATTTTCTTTTAAAACACAAGTTTAAATGTCCTCTAAGTTGTCAGACTCCCATACTCCTAACTCACCCTTGCTCATTCGTTTTTGTGTAGCATGTGAAAGTAGTTCCCTTTTCTTTTTAACTCCTGCTCATTTTTGAGAGTTTAGGTACATACATGAGTATACATTCTCTCTCTCATACCCAGACACAGACATACACACACACACACACACACACACACACACACACACACACACTCTCTCTCTCTCACATGAAGAAAGAGACATTTCAAGGTCAAGTAAAGTGATATAAAAGAAAGAAATTATAATGACAAATTCCATTATTTCTCTAATGGTGAATTTATTCATTTGCTTTTAAAACTAGAAGGATGACTATCTTTCCATTTCAAATTACATTTATATAACACACTTAATAAAAGGTTAAATTAAATAAATTTAATAAGAGGCTAACATTTCAAAATTTAGATAATTAATTCTGAAATTAACTTTGCAGCAGTAAAATATATTAATATCTTTTCAAATTATATAGCAAACTAAACATACCTGAAAGACTGCAAAAGAATTCATGAACATGCCTAAAGAATATCCTGTGTTATAAAGTTCCAGTTCATGGACCACCTAAGGAAAGATAAAATATACGGAATGAATGCATTCATATCAACCTGTTCTGCCCTCTCAACAGTTCTGATATATACCTTAGATAAGAGACAGCCCATATGCTTATCAAATTTGAAAATGACACAAATGGAAGAATAATGAATATGTAAATGCCATGATCGTAATTCAATCAGCCAAAATTACACTTCTTTTTTAAACTTATTTTTATTCTGTTCAGCAATCCAGAATGCCTAAGAAGTGTGGCCTTGTTGACAAGACCAACACGTAGAGATCAGCGTTAAAAATGACTCATACTTTTGACAAAGATAAATGGGTTCAATTGGATAGCTAACATAAGTTCTAAAAAACTGTCAGTTAGGGACTTCGCTAGTGGCAGAGTGGTTAAGAATCCACCTGCCAATGCAGGGGACACAGGTTCGAGCCTTGGTCCAGGAAGATCCCACATGCCATGGAGCACCTAAGCCCGTGTGCCACAGCTACTGAGCCTGAACTCTAGAGCCCAAGAGCCACAACTACTGAGCCCGCATGCCACAACTACTGAAGCCCGCACACCTAGAGCCCATGCTCCCCCACAAGAGAAGTCACTGCAATGAGAAGTCCACGCACCACAACGAAGAGTAGCACCCGCTCGCTGCAACTAGAGGAACCCCGCACACAGCAACGAAGACCCAATGCAGCCAAAAATAAATAAATAAATTTATTTTTTTTAAGTCAGTTAACTAAATTCTTTAAAATAACACAAAGAGACAACTCACAAAAGAGGAAACACAAATTATGAATAAGCAGAAAAATATTCAACCTTATTGATAATCAAAGTGATGCAAATTACATCAATGAGATAGCTCTTCAATAACGAGATATTTGCATGTATCTGATTAGCAATGCTACTTTTCAAGAACAGTACTCATTGCTATCAAGAGTGAGTAAAATAGGCTAAAAGAGTAAGTAAAATTGGTACATATAAACACAGAATTAGAATATGACCCAGCAATTCCAATCCTCCATATATACCCAAAAGAACTGAAAATAGGGACTCAAAGAGATATCTGTACACCAGTGTTCACTGCAGCATTAGTTACAATAGCCAAAAGGTAGAAACAACCTAAGCATCATCAATAGAAGAATAAACAAACAAAATGTGGCATATATACACAATGGAATATCATTCAGCCATAAGAAGAAGTAAAGTTCTGATACATGCCACAACATGGATGCACCTTGAAAACATTGTGCTCAGTGAAATAAGGCAAACACAAAAGGACAAATATTGTATGATTCCACTTATATGAAATACCTAGAATAAGCAAATTCAGAAAATCAGAAGTAGATTAGAGGTTACCAGGGTTGCTAATGGAAGAGGGTAATGGAAAGTTATTGCTTCATGGTCACAGAGTCTCTGTTTACAGTGATGAAAGTTTTGGAAATAGACAGTTATGATGGTTGTACAATATATGAATGTAATTAATGCCACTGAACTGTATTTCTGCAAATGGTTAAAGAGGCAAATTTTATGTTGTATGTATTTTACTATGGTAAAAAAAAGATATTATACACTTTTTGGTAACTATTTTGATACATTTCCCTTATTTACATTAGCATTAAGACTGACAAACTAAGACAAAGACAGGGAAAAAATTACTAAAGGTTCTAAGTGTAAGTTTAAAAACACACCAAGTTATACTAACAAACGTAAGGTAGATAGCCAGTGGGAAGCAGCCGCATGGCACAGGGAAACTGGCTCGGTTCTTTGTGGCTGTCTGGAGGGGTGGGATAGGGAGGGTGGGAGGGAGGGAGACAAAGAGGGAAGAGATATGGGAACATATGTATATGTATAACTGATTCACTCTGTTATAAAGCAGAAACTAACACACCATTGTAAAGCAATTATACCCCAATAAAGATGTTAAAAAAAAAAAAGACACACCAAGTTTAAAATTAAACACCCAAACCACTGCTTCTGCTATACTAACAACACCACTGCTACATCCATGTTAAGTAAACATGCTGCTAGAACAGGTACCAAGAAGAAAACAATGGAATGAGAAAACAGAAAATTTCATAATATCTCATCAAGCTAGCCAATATAGTTAGTTCAACTATAGACAACGGAGCCAGAGCCAGATAGGATGAAGAGAAAAGGTTTTCGTTCCATAACTCCAACTCTGCCACAGAACACCACTATGTGCAAGATGTCCTTCTGCTGACACTCAGGTGCAAATCTATGGAATTATCTAGGAAGAAGCATCTCTTGCATAAAGAAGTCCTCCTTTTCTCACTGGCTCAGTGAAAGGCACTGTCAAAGCTGCAGCAAGGGAAGTCTGGTATCTGAAAATTAGTCCTGCAAGATCTAGGACACTTAAACTATTCCAAGGCATTCAAGAGTCTCCGGGCATCACCTATAAATTTAACAAGAATGAAAGAAACCAAAACAGTCTATTATCATAGGCTCTTGACTCCCTCCTCCAGAGCCAACTCTGGAGAAACAATAAAAGCAAGCAAGAAACTTGGATGAGTAGAACAAGAAAGCCTGCAGCAGAGGGAAGGGTATCTCGATTTGGAGTGCTGGAGGAAGCAGATGGCAGAAAGCTGCTACAAATAGCAGTCAGATGACGGTTGGAGGGAGGTTTTTAAATTCTGCTCATGCTTCTCATCAGAAGGTAGCCTCAGGACAATCATTCCTTGCAATTTCACTGCCAAAACCAGCAGCCAGCAGGCAGGCAGTGTGGCCAGGATAATACCAAGTGAGCACCTCTGCCCTTCTGGTGTGAGAGGGCGAGGAAACATGAACAGACCCCTGGCCTTCAAGCACTCCTCACTCTTCCTCCTCTACTCCTCCAAACCCTCAGGGCTGGGGTCATCACCTCAGGAGACCGTGGCTTCCTGGGCTGCTTTTCCCTAAGAGCTTAAAAGTGAACCACTGAGTGGAAGGGGACAGCACACTGGGAGGATCAAGAGTAGTTCTCGAGTCCCTGAAGCTCAACCTCTCGCCTTTCTTTAAACTCACAAGACATACACAGATTGGAGCCTGGTGTTCAGCCTTCCCCAACAGACATTATCAGAGTAGCAGCCAAATCAACTAGCTATCTGAATATAATTTCCATAAAAGACATCCAACTGGACAACATACAACGTGTGAAGCAGAATACTGAAAAGTCAGCTCAAGAATTTAAAATAAACATAGTAAATATAGGTAAGGTAAAATATTAGCAATATAAAACAAGAAAAAATATAAGAACTAAATGAAAATAATATACATTAAAAGTATAACAGCTGATATAAACGTAGGATATCCATCAAAGTAGGATAGATACAGCTGATGAATAATCAGTGAGCAGAAAGAGTCAATTGAGGAACTCTCCCAAAGAAATAAATAAAAGACAAAAGAGACAAAAAACATAAAACAAAAAGCTAAGAGAGGGGCTTCCCTGGTGGTGCAGTGGTTGAGAGTCCGCCTGCCGATGCAGGGGACACGGGTTCGTGCCCCGGTCCGGGAGGATCCCACATGCCGCGGAGCGGCTGGGCCCGTGAGCCATGGCCGCTGACCCTGCGTGTCCGGAGCCTGTGCTCCATGGCGGGAGAGGCCACGGCAGTGAGCAGCCCGCATACCGCAAAAAAAAAAAAAAAAAACAAAGCTAAGAGATATGGAGAAAAAAAGTAGAAGTGCCAATCTCTGAAAAGGAGAAGAAATGGAGAGAAAAGAACTATAGGAAGAAATAATGGATGTAAATTTCCAGAATCAAAAAATGAAGGGAGAGTATATATTGAAAGCGCAATTCATCATGACAAAGAACAAAAATTCTGTACAACAGCAACATGATCTGGGCAGGGTTGGGGAAGGAGGTGCAGACAGGGAGACACAAAAAGAATGCATAAGAATATGAGAGCATACTAAAATGCTTGCCTTCTCAGATGAAGATACAAATATTGATAATCTTAAGAAATCAATAAGGATAAATAAATATAAGCACAATTCATGAGTCAAGGGCATCTATCATGGAAATAAAAATAGAATGTGTAACTTCCAAAACCACAGAAAGAATAAAAAGAAACAAAAAGGAAGTAGTCTAACTTTTAAAATATGAAATAAAAAAGCAGAAATAAGTCTTAATTAGAGCAAGGACTGATTTGTAAATGGGTTAAATAAGCTTATTAAAAGACACTATCAGATTCGATTAAAAAAACAAAAGCAAAATATAATAATATGCTATCTAAAAGATATTGGTAAAACAAAAACTTACAAAAGGTTGAAAATAAAAAGATGGAAAAATATACCAGCCAAGTATATTTGAATCAAAAGAAAGCTGGGATAGCAATCTTAATATCTGACAAAATTTAATGTAAACGTACAGCAAGATATAGAGACAGAGACAAAGAGAGCACGTGTGTGTGTGTATTTGTGTGTGTACACATATATATGGAAGGAAAAATGAAATAATATATTTATTAAGATATTTAGCAAGCTGTAAAATGAAAGATGCTATATTCAGTTAAATCAAATGCAAAATGCTACAGACTTTTTAGAATATAATGTGAATTTAAGTGAAGGCAAGAGAAAACAAGTGAACAATTGGTTTTAAAGGAGTTTTTTTTAAAAAGGAATGAGAAAAATTTGCTGCATAGACTGAAGAAAAATGTATAATTTTTCTCAAATGGATTGATTTTACAACAAGATGACAAAATTAGGCTATACATATATATCTTTCTTCCTGATGTGTTCTTAATCACTGTAGTTAATCAATCAGTGGATGTGGGTTATACAGTCTAGATTTCACTGACAAGTACATATAAAGAACTTACAGAGATTGGTTAAAAATGGCAGAGTAGAAGGACGTGCGCTCATCCCCTCTTGTAAGAGCACCAGAATCACAAGTAACTGCTGAACAATCATTGACAGGAAGACACTGGAACTCACCAAGAAAGATACCCCACATCCAAAGACAGAGGAGAAGCCAAAATGAGACGGTAGGAGGGGCGCAATCACAATAAAATCAAATCCCATA